GATGGTGTAGAATAATCCTATCCAAGGACCAGTGGTGGGTTTCAAAAATTTTTGGAACCTCTTCTGTAGGTGTGACCTGTTTTCCAGGCCCACTGGTGGAACCTCTTCTAACCGGTTCAGTAGATTTGATGAACCGGTTCTACCGAACTGGTGCAAACTGGTAGGAACCCACCTCTGGTAAGCGCGCTTCTGTTGGCGCGCTGTTGTTGGCGCGCTTCTGTCCTCATTCTTCGGTGCAATTTCGAACTCGTGCTTTTGTCCCTGCGGTTTTGTCAGCGCGCTTTTGTCGAGTGCGCATTTGTTGGTGAACCCCAGGATCATGGTTATAACATACTGTTATGTAAAAGCAAAAAGTTTGCTTTTAGTTGTGTGGTTGTGTAGTTGTGATGTTGTTGCCTTTGTCTGTGCCAAAGAGAGTCAGAAGTTGGTGCCTTTTTTTTCTTTTTCTCCTCACATTACACTATACCCCCTCTTTTTTTTCCTTCCTCCCTTCTTACTTTCCCATGTTATTTTTTTCTTTCTATTTTATACAAAAAGTTTTAATTTGAGAAAAGTATGATCCAGGATCAAAGATTGGGCACGACTGAGTTCGTCTAAAATTGCCTGACTTTTACATACAGTGGTACTTTGGTACTCAAATGCTTTGAAACACAATGAATTTGGTACTCGATGCATTTTGAGGTGAAAATTTTGTCCCGGTACTCATTGTTTGGTACTCGACTCACAAGCTAAAACAGGCTGTTGGCTGCCTTGTGACTCACTACATTGTTCCTTATGGTACAAAATGTGTTTAGTATTCATCATTTTTGGTACGCATCAAACCTCCTGGAATTGATGAGTACCAAGTTCCCACTGTATATGATTTAATTAATGAAGGAGGTGTTTTGTTTTCACTTGTTCCCAGCATATGTATAGTACGCATACACCTGTAAAATATTCCACATACTTGTTTTGAACACAGCATGTATGTCAGAATATAATGAATAGTTTCCAAAAAGCATTTTGTTTTCTGTTTTGATAACACCATCATGACAAGAAAGAGGATTTGAGAATTACCCCTTCAGCTACAGCGCCACATGATTTCTTCGTGGCACGACAAAACTGCGCTCCACTAAAGCGCGCCCGATTAAACCGCGTCGCTGACGTCATCAGCAGGGCGACAACAGCGACCGCGGAGAAAAAGGGCGCTTTAAAAAGCGCTTTGAAAGCAAGCCGATTCAAGTTAAGGTAAGGGTTAGGTTCAGTGTTAGGTTAAGGGTTAGGTTAAGGGTTAGGT